CCAGTTTGGCTTTCTTGGGTGAGCCAGTCGGCATCAGCGACACTTCACTCAAGTTCAGTTAATGACTCAGACCCCTCACTCCCCACGTGAACCCACACTTTGCTTGCCCCATTTTCTTTCTTCGAATGTTCAGTTGAAAGGAAAAGGCTTGATTGCGTGTATTCAAACGTGAAAAGGGAAGTGTTGTCTGATCCTGTGTGTCCTTGTCTATCCTCGGAAACTGTTTTGGTTTTGTATTTTGTTGCAGGCACGTGAGCGAAAGCTTTGTATGTGCAACGAAGACTAGGGCTTTGCGGGTGTGATGCTTCATCTGTGAAGAGCTTAAATGCTCTCTTGTTTTGGTTCGTAAGAATCTTGGTCGATTGAGGGTCACGAGGGAGAAATCTCGTCCTTAATTCGCTTTTCTTCATTCGGTTAGACGATTTCCGCATCACGAATTCGACGGTATGTGCCATTTGTTTTATTATAGGAGGTGACCCTCACCTATTACCCACGACAAAAATTGTAAGATGTGGTGGGATGGGTCGACTGAGCTCTTTTGTCTTACACTTCTTTTCTTGACTATCTGGCGCATAGGAAACTACTCCTACAAGCATGCACCTAGCAATCTCGTCTGGCCCGAACGGGCATCAAGGAAAGATGGCTGGTCACAGGATCAAGTTTCTAATTTTCGTAGGCATCGTGGGACCAAGCAGCAATAGGATATGCCCCACTATTAGCCTGCACATGCTCGACGTCGTTCTATTTATAGCCCAACCTCTCGTATATTTCATTTCACTCCAAGGTTCTTATGTCGTCAGTTTTCTTTAGGACGATAGCGAGAGTTAATCTGCAGTGGCCTCCACCGCTTGTTGTGCCAAACCTCGGCTAAGGGAGTAAGTCGACGAAGAGGGAGGATGGAGACGCGGGTAGCGGACAACTCAAATACCGCAAACAATGCTGCCTCGAGCAGTTCGCGACAGAGAAACGCGGTGGTTGCCACCATCATGCTGTTTCCAAACAAGAAGGAGGCAAGGACTTGTTGTGTGTTCCCCAAGACCGCATCTTGCGCACTCGCCTCCTTGGCGAATACCATGATTCGCGGCTGGCAGGACACCTTGGCGTCGCACGCACACTAGCATGACTCCGCCAACGATTTCACTGGTCGGACATCATCAGCGACGTCAACCGGTACATTCAGTCATGTGCAGTTTGCCACCGGAACAAAGGGCGCCATCAGCTCCCGTATGGCGAACTGAAACCATTGCCGATTCCTCAGGAACCGGGTCTCTCCATTGCTTTGGATGTGACCGGTCCTTTCCCTCGCGATCGCCTTGGTCATGATGGTATTCTCACGGTCGTTGACCGTTTGAGCAAGTACGCTCGATTTATTCCATGCAAGTATCATGCGACGGCTCCCGAGCTCGCACAACTTTTGCATACCGGCTGGTTTTGCAGCCACGGCGTTCCGGAAGACATCGTCAGCGACCGCGACACTCGTTTCATGTCGGCCTTTTGGACGGCACTCATGGTGGAATCCGGCACCAGCATGAAACCGAGTTCCGCACGGCATCCTCAAACGGATGGGCAAACGGAACGTGCGCACCAGACTGCGCAGATGATGCTCCGCACACTCGTCCGCCCGGATCAGAAGGACTGGGTTGACCGCCTTCCCGACATCGAGTTCGCCTACAACACTTCGGTGCACCCGGCGATTGGCGTGACTCCATTCGAGTTGCACCATGATGGACGGAAAGGACGTATCTTCGCAGACATTTTTCTTCCACGGGCTGCCGACATCGACGCCGCTTGCTCCCTCGCTTCTACACGGAAGTACAGGGAACTGCTGGCCAAAGCCCGCGCAAACATGGAAAAGGCTCAGGTCCGTATGCAGCAGCAAGCAAACCGGCGTCGCATCCCATGTCCAATTTGCGCCGGCGACGTAGTTTGGGTCACCTCCGAGGAATTTGCGCTCGAGCAGGACGTCTCACGCAAGCTCCTCCCTAAGTGGTTTGGACCATGGATGGTCATTTCAGCAGCTAGCGACGACCCCGTGGGTCATCTTTCATCATTGAGATTTCCCCCCATTTGACGGTCCACCCGATATTTCACGCTTCAAAGCTGGCGGTCTACACTACAGCCTCCGCAGCGGACTTCCCGGGCAGACGGTCACAGGACCCTCCTTCAATGGATGGTCATCAGGAGGTCGACCGCGTTCTCACGCATCGCAAGCATGGCAACAAGCCTATGCAGTACAAAGTTACATTTAAGCAATGCGATCCGAACGACACACGCTGGATTTCAAGAGCTGACCTGAAGGCGACAACACCCCTCATCTTCGCACATTACGAAAAACAGTGACTTGCTAAGGAAGCTGCCCAACCTGCCCGCCCTGTACGGATATCGGACAGACAGCTTCGCCCTCGCAGTTAGCTCGGTCTTCAAGGGGGGGAGTGTGTGGCATTCTGAGCCACACGGGCGCCAGTTAGGGCCCAGTTCCAGACAGGCAGGGTAAGCCTAGGGGACGACGGTTCAGATGAGGCCCAAATGGGCCTGGACCATGATGGTTCAGGCAGGCCCAGGCCGAACGGCCACAAGACCGGTACCGGTCCAGCCTAGGACCTACCGGTGGCGTTTCAGAGGCTGCCACATTTGGGCGCCAAAACCAGTTTGAATCTGGACCGTCGATTCAGATCAACGATCCAGGCCGGTAGGTACCAGCAGATAGGAGGCCAGCCCAGCACTACAAAAGGCTGGGTACCAGCCTCCGTAGGAAGGTTAGTAAGGCTAGAGGTTAGTCTTCAGGTTTAGCGCATCAGCTTCAGCGTTAGCTCATTTAGCGCAGCGCTGCAGCACAGCACGGAGCAGCGAGAGCAAAGAGTCCAGCGGCGAGCGGATTAGCGCAGCACTTGGGCGCAGCGCCAGTTACCGGCCCAGCCCCTTGCAGCGCCATAGCGACGGTACCAGGTATCAGGGAGGAATGCTTCGCCTTCTCTCCCTCCTCTCCTCCATCGCTTCTCTCTCCTCTCTCTCTCTCTCTTCTCCTACCTTCTCAGTCTAAGTCTACTTCTACTTCTCCTACAGGACTACTTGAGTATGGGAGATGGTTACGAATTCTGATAACCTCTGAGACAGCGACATTGGGACTATGAGTTGAGGACTGTTTAAGGATCTGATTTCATCTTCCTTCTGGAGATGTACTTGACATTGTGAGATCGATATCTGGGATATTGTGAGACTTGGCATTCGCGACATTTCGGATTTTCGTCACTTCTGACAAATTCAAGATACTACCTTTGGAAACATTGAGTTGACGTCATCTTCCCTCTCCTCCTCCTTCGTCTCTCTCCTCGCTCCCTTCGTCCGTGTATGATCTCAGTCCCTGGCCCTTCGTCTATGTTCGAGGCCAGGGCATTCACACCCCTGATGAATGTTTGAGAGTGTTCGATTGCAGTCCGAGTCAGGTCCGAGTCAGTCCAAAGGTATCTCATGTCTTCCGCTTGCATTTGTATTAACTCTGTATTATCTGGTCGGTTCTGGGAATCTGCGC